ATGATCAAATAGCATAGAAAAATAGAACATTCTTTTCTCTATCAGACTATATAAAAAGAAAGTTTCTTTAACCTTTCTATAAGGGATAAAAATACCACTGCCACTACTTTTGGTATGCCCTAAGTACGTTTTTATAAAACTGGTTGTATCACATCCGGAAAGGGCATGTAGCGCCAAAAGAATTTTCGGATTTGTATATTGAGCAATTTCCTAAACGAAAAGAAATAAAGTAGAAATTCTATCTTGATCTGATCCAGCAACGTATGAGATGTGCTTGTTTCAGCCAAACATCTCATACACAAATCAGCATTTAACCAATACGCGGCTGTCATAAAAGCAAACGTACGACGATATCACAACGAAAAACACAATATAACGAATGGTGCAGAATTTTTCGAGGCCATACACTCGTATGAAGGAGTGAAAGGAGTACAGGCGTATGAATGTAGTCTTATTAGAAATCCGGAACCGACAAAAGTTACCTTTCCAAAAATTACATTTGTGAATAATTACGAGTTTGAACAAGATGGTATACGAGTACATAGAGCAGGGAACGTCGGTGTTGGTAAATTACTTAAATGGCCATTATTGGATACACCGAAAGCTATAGGTCATCTACAATGTCAACCATGTCCCTCTAAGCTACAATTGTCGTCCATTACCGGAGTTCCTAAAGAACGCAAATCTCTGTCCGACCGTTCCTCGATTACCACAACAACTACAATCGAACTGGCGGTTCAGGCTAGTAGAAGTAAGCTGTATGACTGTCCCGAAGAGGGATGTGTAGCTTCGTTTATCAGATACGGAAATTTAACTCAACATTTATGTACAGGAAAACACCGACATCGAAGAGAACGTAGTTCCATGAGGGACATGGGTATGACTATGTATCACTCGAAACTGGAAAATATTGAAGTAAGATCAATGTTTTCTCTTCAATTAGAAGAAACTACACCTGGTGATGATGATGATACAATTCGTATTACACCACCTGACAGAGGATGGGCTTTACCAAAAGAACGAAAAGTGACACATCTGAATGAATCTCAGGTAAAGTATCTCACTGAGAAGTTCGATGAGGGTATACAACAGAGAATTCGATGGAAACCAGAGGAAGTATCAGCTGAAATGCAACGAAAAAAAGATTTGAACAATAGATTCTATTCCATACCGGCCGAGTTTTTAAAAACTGGCCAGGTCCGATCGTTTTTTTCACGTTTGAAGTCGATACGTGGAAAGCAAACAGAAACAGTAGTTGCAGACGAAGGGGAGGAGGAAGATGATGAAGAATTTGACGATAATAATCAAGTAGTTGAAGAGATTGAGCAACGAAATAATTTAAGATATTCAATGGGAATTAGCGGCGAATAATCATCACCTCCGGCTTCCTCTCGAAACCGAGCAGTGTTACCAAATAAAAGAGCGGGATCAACGACTGATGTTCCACCGGCTAAAAAACGTTCGTCATCAAGAAAACGTACTGTTGTCAAATAAAATATTGAAATATTTATAATATGTTTGTCTATAACCACTTGTACCTTCATCAGGATACTTGATTTAACATAAAAAGTGTGTTTTTTTCAAGAAACATTGACTTTAAAAAAATGATAGTATAATTACTTTGACGGTAATAATTACAAGCAATTTTTCAATATGTTCCTGACGTCATGAAAGAAAGTTTTATAGCTCATTTTGCAGAGAATTGCGCGCTCTACAAAACGCACTAAGTTACATTTTGCGGGAAATCTACTAGACGGAGAAAAATAAAGTTTATTGAAAACATTTTATTTTTAAAATTACTAATTTTTCAAATGGTAGGTTTCTGAAAAATCCAGTTTCCATTCGAAACAATTTAAAACACATGATTTTGTTCATTTTTTGATGGACTTTCGAATGAGACGTTATTCGAATAGAACAAATAAAATTTGAACAAGTTATAGACAAAATACCATCAAATTTCTTTCTATCGAAATGATCACGAAAATATAACACTTTTGATCACTAAAGAAAATTAAAGTTAAAACTACACAATCAGTGAAAGTACAGGCGCTAAAACTTTAAAATTTCAACAAACACCTTTTTTGTTTCTTTATAAAATATGTATAAATGAACGCGATGACCTGCGCAGGGCAACAGTAAATCTGTTATTATACTTAGGGCTATCCAAAAGTAGTGAGGTAGGTACTATTTTTTCTTATAGAAAGCTTGAAAAATTTTTCTTTTTTTATGAACAGATAGAGCGTCTTTCGCTCTATTTTTCTGTGCTACTTGATCACCATTCAACTAATATCATAATAATAAAATTTCGATAAGGTCTGTTTCTGTCGCATATATGCTGGTAACATGAATGCGCGTAAGTATTTTTTGAATAACGTTTAATAGCAACAAGATAGAGAACTGCGATCTTCACCATTGGAAAGAGGAGATAAAGGCGCATCGAACTGTAGATTACTGATTTTTCTAATATGATTTCTGAAGTGTTTTTATTCAGTTTTTCAACAAAAATGCTTTTTTTATGAAAAAAAAGAAAAAACAGAAAAGTTGATCGAAAATCATAGTAGAGGTTCGTCTAGAATACGTATTATCCCCAAATAATTAAATTTACATCTGAGTCTTTCGCAGTTTGTAGATCTTCGATTAGCGGTTTGAATGTGAACTTGATTATTGGAAATTCACTGTAAACAACTCACGGGATAGGTTTGTTCTTTAAAAGTCAACTAAAAAAAAAAGTCAAAAAAACCATAAAACAAAATAGGTTAGAAAAATCAGTAATATGTGGTTCGATGCGTCTTCATCTTCTCTTTCCAATGGTGAAAACCGCAGTTCTCTATCTTATTACTATTAAACGTTATTCAAAAAATACTCGCAAGCATTCATGTTCATGCTACCAGCACACTGTGCTGGCGCATAGTATGGAAAAGAAACAGATCTTATCGAAATTTTGTTATTATGATATTAGTTGAATAGCGATCAAATAGCATAGAAAAATAGAGCGAAAGACGCTAACTTTTCAAGCTTTCTATAAGAAAAAATAGTACCTACCTCACTGCTTTTGGATAGCCCTAAGTATATCATTATTTATTAAAGAGGATTGAACTAATTGAAAATACTTTTCCTGCTGGGTACTAAACTTGACGTTGCCAATAAACACGTGCACAAAAAAAACCGAAAATGTGGATGGTATTCATGAAGATAAGAAAGAAGCGAAGAGCAAAAGCATGAAAAATTATTATAATAAGTTGTAATTTAGGTATTTCGCTTAATCATGCAGTCCCTCCGTTGAAAATAAAAATAAAATTTCATATAATAAGTCTCTCATTATCAAACAAAAAATCTCCAGGCTTAGACAACATTATAAATTTTATAAGGCACCGCTAATTCAAAAGTTCAGCACATTTTTATTTTTGGTTTTCTTATACGTCAATCGATAGAGAATCTCACGCTGATCAGAAATATTACTTTTTAGCCTTCCTAGTGCACGTTTTCACGGGGAGAAATTCGAAACAGGAGCGAAAAAATCGGAACTCTGTCCATAATTCTCTATTTTCTTCATCAGAACTCATCTTTTATGTAGTCAAAATATTATATTCGGAGTTATCGTTGAAAACCGATTTGAATGATGTATGTTTCGAAAATTTTCCTTGATTTTCATTTTGTGGTGAAAATCCGAGATTTTGTTATATATAGAAATTGGTACATAGCCCGCCCCTTTTCACACGAGTTCCGAATAAGTCATATATAAATTAACAATCAATATCATTAAGAGTCATCTAACGTTGAAAGTTAAATTTCTGAGAAGAACAGAATGAAATTCAAAAACAAAGCTTTTTACCCGATGTGAGTATATTAAATTCAGTTTGAAAAACATCTAGTACAACTAGTTGTGTTGATCATTTAAATAGAGGGTACACCAGATTGCGATAACATTCTCCGTCTTCTGAGTGAAAATATAATTGTGAAGAAAACGCTATTTAATTTTAAATTTAATTTTCTTAAGCGTGAAGGAGACATTAGGGGCTAGACTAGATCAGTCTTTGAAAAGGTTATCTTGTTGTAACTGGTAAAGCTGGCACTCCAGTAGAAAATGGCTGACTGGCTCTATGTTTCCGCAGACACAGAACTGGTTGTTATAATAAACTTTTTTGGAGCAAGTCAAAACTGAGTTCGGCAAAATTAACTCTCACTTAATTAAGCCCTATGTCGTACTTCCGTTCTGCGTGTCTAAATCTTCGCCATTTGTAGAATAAGAAGAAGTTTTTGATTGCTGTTCGAAAAGATCTTAATTGTTTTATTTGTTGAAGTTCAATCGGCCCATTGACAACAGTCCCACATTATCTGTTACTCAAGCGGCTCGACAACTATTTTAATAGTTCATCTGACATTCCTTTTTTCTGCAGCTTACGAAGTAAAGCAGGATGCCAGACTCTATCGAACGCTGTGAAAAATCGAAAAAAGACAACATTAGTTAGATTATTTGAAAAGTAAGGCTTTTTAAGACAATGTACTGAAAACTTTCTTCGGCCACTTGTTGATTAAATACCTTATAACACAAAGGAAAAAGGTATGTCACGTTTAGATAAAGATCTATTTACATTAAAGGTAAATAATATAATTCTAAAATACGTAGTTATAATACTACGATATCTTATAAGATTGTAGCATTGTTTTGCTATATCATCCAGCTTGTTATTGCCCACAAACATCAGTAAAGATGCAAGTAAGAACTGTATTAATTTTTATATCATTGTCATTAACGGTAGCAGGTGATTTAATTGTTCACCGCAATGTGCCTTACATTGATACGGAACAATTAGAAATTGAGCTTAATATACGTCATCAAGTACTGTCAAAACCATATGAATTTACACCACCAACTCCATATAAAAAAATTGGAGATGTGTCTGAATTCGATGTAAGCAATGCCACTCGATTTGTTCGTTATGCTGTGGCTAGTTATACTAAAAATTGGAATGAAATATTAAATTGGACATGTTCGGATTGTCGTGCACCAGAAGTTCAAGGATTTATGTGCACACATTTAATACATGATAATAAAACGGATACATTAGTGTATTTAGGAATCAATACCAACCATAGGGAATTAGTAATTGTTTGGCGAGGTACAGCTGGTGAGTTAAATCTTTTACTAGATCTTGAGTTCTGGAAAACGACTAAACCATTAGATGGAATACCCAAGGCGTACACTGCAACTGGTTTCTATGACATGTATCATGTTGCACAAGATAGAGTATGGAATGCACTATTAACAAACATAGCTAAGTATAAAGATTTTGAAATAAAGATAATTGGACATTCATTGGGCGGTGCAATATCATCAATAAATGCTGTTGATTTCGGTTATAATGGTAAATTAAATTTATCAAGTTATACATTTGGTAGTCCACGTTCTGGAGATAAAGGTTTTACATTAGCTTATCATGATTATTGTCAACAACACTGGCGAATGACTCATGATGAAGATCCAGTTCCACATTTACCATTAGTTATGATGAGTTTCTTGCATGTTACTCATGAAGTATGGCAGCATGATGTACTTGGAAAATATGTTATTTGTGATAATCCGTCGTGGGAAACAAATGAGAATAAATATTGTGCTAATAGTGAAACATTATGGTGGTTCCATTTTAACTTGAAAGATCATAATTATATGAACTTAACAAATACGTCGGCTGTTCACAATTATATTGAAAGATTAAAACAATATGATCAGATTAAATTAAAACCATATTTATTACGAAATCATTAATCAGACAGTTAAGATTAATCATAGACAGTGGAGAATAAAAAATAACTTGTATCGATTTTTTTTGCTACAAAATGAATTTATGATTCAGATTTTTCTTAGACATTCGAATTATCATATTAAAGTCATAAGACGTGCAAACACGGCATTCTGCACTAAACTTTTCCACAATTTATGTTCTATTTTTGTTGATTTTAGTCACAAACATTATATAATTTTCAAAATGTTAGCACGAAGTTAGAATACGATTGGCATGCGTATTTTTGCTTAGACAGGGTCAAACGGACAGTTTCTCCATAAATGTAGATAAAGGAAAGCTACAGTTGAATTATCCTGCTATACTTTAAAAGCATTGTGCAACAAAATTCGTCTGGTAAAACCTTATCATTTGTTTTTGTTCTTTTTTTTATTTATCTGTTTCTTTTAAATTTTCTCTCTTGTCTCTTTCGCTCTCCCAGTGTCATGCAATGGAGCACAGCCCGATTTGATCACTGTTTCTTCTATAATAAAGTTTAAACCAAATTCATTATGATGAACAGAACAACTCTTGATCTTTCATCGCTGCTGCACTACACGTACACCATCGCACAAGTTAAAACATCATATAAATACCTCTAACGTCGACCTTAAATAGTATTCTACATTGCAAACAAGATCGTCGGATGAAAGAAATGAGCACTCGGTAGACGAATGAACGAGGATAGAAAGCTCTAAATTTTTCTACGAAACTTTGCATACGGTTTTTCTCTTATATTCTCAAACAATTGATCACTAGTTGCTCACTAAGTGGCAGCATCTTTTCAAACTCTAGCATCAATAACAAATTTGTTCCTTAGCATGAACAATCATTAAAAAATGATTACATATAATTCATTTAAATTCTACAGTCGTTAATCGATGTCTTAATTTCTGCCTAGAGTGTTATGGTTTTCTCGGTTCTCAAACTTTGTCTACTGACTATTTCAGTCGTTCCGAAGCACAGTTGATCTTTAATCATTGGTGTAAGTTAGCATCGAAATTGCGCTCTTTTTCTGGATAAAATTTTTGTCAAATTGAATTGTACAGAAGCGATCAGGCTCGGTCGATAAGATTACCGTGAGATATATACTTCTTAGGGTTTGTAATTCTCTTCCATAAGAATGACTGTCTAGAAACATTTAAGCAGCTTTAGTTTAGTTTTCTGCTAAATATGTCCAAATCTTTTTTCTTTCTTGCGTGTGGGTTATCCGGGGAGTGTTATGAAATCCAGATTTTTAAAATTCGGATGTTTTTAAGTTCGGAAAGAAGTTTTATCCGAAAATCCTACTCGCCCGAGCAACTCCACCCAGATGTAATTTCATCCGGATTTAAAAGTGCGTCCAGATGAATTTCCTCCGACCAACTCCGGTAAAAACTATTCTATATAAGTTTTTCACTTGTTTATAAAAAGCAATGCAAGCCCCATTGTTAATTAGTTGTATACAACTAATTAACAATGGGGCTTGCATTGCCTAATTCTAATCTAAGACTAATATATATATATTAGTCACTCCAGATGTACTTTAACTTGCATTGCTTTTTATTATAAGTGACAAACTCATCTAGAATTTTTTTCCCGGACTTGAGAGGTTTTTTAAGAAGCCACGGGAGTTGATCGAGGAAATTCATCTAGAAATAAGTCATCCGGATTCCAACATGTCCGGTAAATGATTCATCCGGACATGTTGGATTCTGGATGAATAGTTTTCGGATGAGTTAAAAAAAGGATTTTAATAATCCGGATTTCATGACACTTTCTCGGTTTATCTTGTTCTTTTTGATTTATCTAATGTTGTGAAGAAAGTATGAGAATCTTGATGGAAAAACATAGGAAGACGGATAGAAAACGAAAGATACATCTTTATGTACAATTAGGTGCAATCTATAGTGCGCCGATTAATACATCACTTGACGTACGGACTTATGAAGAGTGTTCTTTTGTGAAAACAGTCGTTCAGACTGAGCACAGATCAGTCTTGAACTAACAACAGAAATGTATATTTTTTCGTCATTTTATGTTCACTGTGAGGAAGGTGATCATTTGATGCATACAGTTCTGCTCCAAAGAATGAGAGAATGTTCTGTTTATGTAAAATGGTTCTAGAACATGCAGCATTTAATGACAAGAAAAAAATCCATATAACAGAAAAGAGGAGTATTTGTCATGGCATTTTTCATTTTTATCATGCCTATATAATATTGAATGAAGAAATAAAGTCTCATATATTCATGACAATAACTTTTTGCCCCTATGGAATAAGTTCATTGTGAATGCTACAATAACAGTAATAAACTCTATAGTTATGAATTTATCACAGAGAGAAACATCGAACAAATACATAGAGAGGGACAATTTACGGACGTCAAAGGCACGTTTTAAGCAAGTTATTCATCGTATATGATGAAAGACTAAGGTTACCTTGTATCGTATGTAGTAGTAGTGACATCAGATAATCGACTTAGATCATCAGTTAGAATGGAAAAGCAACAGCGAAAGATTAAATTTTTTCAACTAACATTGATTGAATTGTTAAATATTCTGTGCCCGGCTGCTGTGTCGATTGTGATTGCTGCATATATAAATAACATGAATCACATGGATTCATGCAGTCCATAGGCTGTAAGTCGAATGAATATAGTGTCGAGAATATTATTCATTTTATTTTAACTCAATCTTGTTACTACAGAACTGAGCGATATCTTTTACGATGAGAGCGTACCATATTTTCCACCCTAGTTAACAAGTAACGCTCGCTAGCTCGCTGACTCTGCACTGAACTCTCGGGACCGGTGAGCTAGTGGTCTAGTTTTCTTTGTAGTATCGGTCGCAAGTAGCGCTCGTTTACAACGTGACAGTCTTTGCCTGTTCGCCCTCGATCTGTCCCTTGATTTTAGAAGCGTTATCTGCGAACGACCTTCGATGACTTTGAATCAAAGACCACATGGCCACCTTCGATCAGCGTTTGCTAGGGGGCTATCCACAATATGTTATGGAACATGTGTACGTGCGACTATACACCATAAGTGTGCATGTACGTCTGTCACACTAGTATCTGTGTGTATGTAAGGTAAGGTGCACAGAAAGCCGACTTTTCATGAACTTTATTTTGGATGTTTTTATACATCATTCAATAGAGGAATTCAAGTTGAGTAAGAATATGTATTTTTCGATCTTTTTGAAAACTTTTTTCAAGTCGAAAAAATCAAAATACCCGGAAGCGGTCAAAAATCAAAAAAAACTGTGATTTTCGAAAAACCTCTGCTGTATTTTCGCGTTTTGGTCAGCCGAGCTAAAGTGTTTTGGATTCAGCATCAAAAACTGCATCAGAAATTGTATTTGAACATTTTTAGACCAGAACGCCTCTCTGCGAAAAAATCCCAACATACGTGTGGTTCAAAACCGAATCCGATTTTTCTAGAGGATGTCCTAGAGCAAAAATTTGAGCTACTAATAGCCCGCTAGTATGTACTAATTATGTACTTCATTAAATTCAACATATTCGAAACCTACACACCAGAAATTTGGCTTTATTCGTGCGTGTTATGTTAAAGTTACAGATGAAACAGAAAAAACGCGGTTACGGAACATTTCAAACCATCCAATGGTAGGGCACAACGTCAAATGAAAGAAGACAAATTTCATCTTCTTTGTCGCGGAGAATAAAGTATCTCAGAATATCTTCATTTTTAATGGATGATCAAAAATTGTTTTGCCATTTATTACTCGCGGAGATACACTTGGGACTTTATACACTCTCTCCAGTGGGAAAGAAAACACCACTTATTCCTGTTCTTTTCGATACAGGACGGATTGCATTTGATTGAGCATACCAGGACGAGTTACACAGCTTTGCTTAATTGAATTTCAAAAAATTAAAAAGTTTTGAGCACATTCGCACAATAAAACTGAACTGTGTTGTTAGATAAAAATCGTATTATTCATATCCTATATGAAAAATACGATTCTGTTCAGGAACAACTGCATTTTAGTATTGATTTGTCTCTGACTTATTATTTCAGATTTGATTCATATGATTTTTGGAGAAAAACTTCAAGTTTTCAGCAGAACGCAAATTTCATACAGACACTTGATGTTCGATAAGTTGGGTTTTGACCCAAAATGACGTGTCACAGCGATTTTCGGGCTGAAAAATCCATTCCTCTTTTTTGACTTCAAATCCTCTTTGAAAAAAAACACGAATCGTCTTTGATTCCTCTTTTTCCAAAATATTGCAATCGGAGGCCACACGATGCAAACGATGAAATACAATGTGCTACGACAATCTTTTACGATCGTACTGGTTAAAATATTTTCAAAAATTTTTACACAAAAAGTAGAAGACTGTTGTAAACTATCGTATACGTGTCGTATTTTCAATGTGTGTGCTTTTCTCATCCGCCGTTTTGTTTTGTCACTGTAAGAGTATAAAAAAATGATCAATTCTAAGGGAAAATTGTGAAATCATTTTTGACTTACGAAATTTTTTCATAGCTCCCATCTAAGGTCACGTTTAGACGTGTTCTGGATGGGAAAATTATTGATTAGAAAACTTTTTGAAAATTTAATTGGAAAATTAAAAAGTAAAAAGAGGTTCAAAAACGCGACTACTTTTGAAAAGCTTCCAAAAATTTGGTATGAAAGAAAACGTTAAAATAGTTTGCTTATTTTACGTAAAAGGAGTGAAATATTTGGTGGGTTTATAATGAGCGTAGTCCACGCGAACTATGAAAGATACTCAGCTGAGACAGAATGTAAAAGGCGTTGTTCACGGAGCTCTCTAATTTTACAGTTGATACTGCATAGAATTCTAACATAAACTCCTATCGTTGTGCGTAGCATATGGTTTCAGAGTAAAGAGCATATTCAGTCTTGCAGTGCAAAACAATTCTAAGAGGAGGCAGCGTTTCTATTAACAAATAACGCTCGTGTAAATAAAACGGGCTACTTTTCAAATTTTGCTCCCGTTCAGATCTTCCAAATTTAT